CTTCACATCAAGACCATCAGAGCTGTTGAGTATTTTAATGAATATTATTATAGTCAACAAATCCTGTCAAAACATTGAAACAATGAAGTGAATCCACGAGTATATTCTGTATGGTCAAAGCCTTAAATATCTTCCTCCTCTGTGTCATAGACCTCCACTGCATCCAAAGTGAGAATGACATGTTCCCTCACTGTAAGATGAGCACGGGCACTGTTGTTTATTTTGAGTCAGTCCCACATACACCGGCCTGCTGCAGTAAATACTCATGTTAATCCACAGCTGAAAGTAGTCCCTGTTCTTGCTTGAGCAGTATTTGTTTAAACAAAACGATACTGTTGAGAGCAGCAAAGACTTTTTTCAGAGAAAAATGAACTTTTAACATTTCTTCTGAGATGATGATTCTTTTTTACAGATGTTTCATTTAATCTGTTTTAACATTTACTATTATTGCTTGGTTTGGAAATATAAATATGTCCAATAGGAACAGACTTCGAAGATTTGTCAGAATGGCCGGTAAGATATCAGGGAGCAGTCAGGCCACGCTCTTGGACATTTAAAACTGGTAGATCCTTAAAAGGGCTAATGCTATATTGGACTGCCAGGACCATTCGCTTCTGGATGAGTCTAAGCTTTTGCCCTCTGGACGACATTACAGGGCACCTGTTAGGAGGACCAAGAGATTCTCCTTTATCCCAAGTGCTATTGATACGCTTAATAGCAAATGGCTCTCTGGCTGTATTCCTTGAGCTCCCTTTGCACACTTGCACTTTGCACTCTTGTATATGTGTAGCCTGCTTGGTATGGTCTGAATTTTTATTTCCCTACTCTAGCTCTGTTGATTTTTTGCGTGGATGTGTCATTGGTGATGTCCTTTGTAGTCTGTTTTATGTTTTTATGCGAACCCTGGGGACAATAAAGACAACTTTAAACCTTAAAGTTTAGTAGTGACAAAAAAGCCAGTTGTAGAAATCTGATGGCTCCATGTCACAACCCACTTTCACAGGTACTAGTAATCCTCTGGGGTAGCCTATGCACGTTGTTGCCAAACTTCATGCAGAAAGAAGTCGTTACTGAGCACTCGTTCTAATAGATTTGGAAGTTTGTGCCGGCAGATTTTCGTAACATAGAAGCTTTGGCAGAGGTCTGTGCACTCTGTTTGCCTTTCTAGTTTTGTTTTCTTTTTGACATGGGCCTACATGGGCATGTTCCTCTTTTTATTTCAAAATGAAAATATAGAGACAAACAAATTATGATAATCTTAATAATTTTCCTCCTGTGAATATACTATCAAAACATATCTCTTTAACTTTCACTTCATTTTATGCTTCAGTTTGTCTTCCACTGCCCACTCACTCGAACACCAGACAGTTGGCAGGTCATCCTGCTCAACCCCATCGCATGTTCAGAGATGGACCATGTTGTGTGTGTGTGTGTGTGTGTGTGTTCGTGCGGGAACTATTTTTCACACATAGCTCATACAGAATCCAGCACCTTTCCACAGTAAAGATAGCTGAGGCTGGAGGTGTGTGTCCACTCTCTGGGACACGACGTATTTAATCCCATAATGCACCTGGCTGCCAGTAATATCGCTGATGTGGCTCCGGATGAGAGCCGACTCAACGTAGTGATGGAGGAAACGTTGATTTGAGAAGGACTGGAAAAATAGTGTTTCTCCAAAGATTTCCTGTTGCAATCTGGTAGTTTCTAACTATAGTTTTCCCAACAAACTGAGTGTTAAGTCAACATTCTCTGTTTAGACACCTGCCAAGAGATTCTGATGTTTTAGGGCCAAAAAAACTCAGTGGAAATGCTGTCCACTTCTTTTTCACTATATAAACCAAAGCCTTGCAGGAACTCTATGATCAGCCTGCATTTATTTATTTAATGGTTTTGAATCAGAAGTAATAAACTCATGTAAACACACAGCTGATTAAGTTTGGGTGATCTGATAAGTCAAAACAATATAAATTTGCCATTATTGAATCAACTATACCTTTAAATTCTCCACTGGGCCACTGTGACTGATGCTGGAAAAAATAATCCAGACTATTTTATGTATGTATTTTATTTATTAGGTTTTTTACAACTTGGAAAACACATAATCTAAATGCTAGGGAGGATATTCTTTTGTTCATGTTGGTTTATCAGTTGGTACCTCCTACACAGAGCACTCTACTGGTGAACTTGTATAAGAAGCTTCAGGCAGTGAATGAGGCCACAGATGTCTTGAGGGTTGAGTCAAGGTCTGACGGTTGAGTTTGGACAATCGGCGCTCTAGGAAGTCCTAGAAAAAGTGCTCTTAGTTTGCTTTAAATAGAGACACATTGCAGAGCAGCATCTTGTGCACTAAGAGGAGGACGACCAGGTAATAGGATTGGCTGGCTTTAGCTCGGGTCACAATGAAATAACAAGGACATCGAACCACGCATGATTCCTGATGCTGGATTTGAACCAATCGACACACAGTCAGCTGAATGACACCAAATACTACAGAACATGTTGGTGATGTTAAAAGCTGATTAGTTTAATTGTATAATGTTTTTGTTTTTATTGCCAAGTTAAAGCATTAGCTTGTCTAACTGTCTTCAGATCCTGAGCAACACACCTGGACCTAAATAGCTATAGAAATATTATAATGTTTAGATATATTGATGTTTTTACTTTTTGTACCCCAAAATAACTTACAAAAGGCCGCCAAAGCACTTACAAAATATGCAACTCAGTGGTATATTACTCACGTACTGTGTACTTCTACTTATACTTCAGAGGAAGACATTATACTACTACATTGGCCTGACAGAGACATGTTACTGGTTACACTGCAGATTCAGATTTTACTCACAAAATATAACAATTACAACATGATGTTTAATTGTTTATTAAACTATCCAGTATTATATTAGAATTGAAAGCAGCACCTTAAACAGACAGTAAGCAAATTTAAGTACAATGTGCCATCATTGCTTCTTAGTATTCTCCTCCTGCCCCTGCTTCATGTATCCTTGAACACATGCATTCATTTTCTTTAACACCTGTATGGTGTAGAAAGAAATGAGAAACACTAGACATCATGTATGGCAAAAAAATATTTAAATGTTGTAAGGGCCTCAGAATAATTTGAGAGTTGACAAATCTGTTAAAATCATAACAGTTTATTTATTAGACTAATATTAGGACTTAATTTATCGACAGCAGTTTTTCTGTTATTGAATTTTAAACATTAGGCTCATATAAAATGATTGTGAGTGAAGAGTAAAGTTAATATTTGGTGACAATACAGTATATACAGGCGTATCTTGGCGTATTATTGAATATTTCTCTTTTCAGTGTTGCACTTTGTAGACGGTCCCTGCACTCAGCTCACAGCATGCTGCACACATATAGTAGAGCAACATCTGTCCAGCCTGAAGGGATTGTTTTGGTGACATGTGGCTCATTTTTTCAGTTGGAAACTAGTGTAGTTTGTGTTTTATCAACGTTCTGCTCATGAGTTGTTGATCCAGGAAGTTTGACTCTGAATATCTTTCCAACTTTAACAAACTGCTTTAAGCAGGCAGCTGCTGTCCCCCATCTTCGTGCTGCACACTGGCACTGAATCTTTTAGTGGTATGGAGTACAGGAGCCTCCTTTCCTTCCCGGTTATCAGTTAATATGGCAAAGAAAACACCAAAGATCTACTCACAGTCAGAAACACGGTGAAATATACATGGCGAGACATGCTCTGCTCACAGTCTGTTCTCTGCAGAGCCCTGAAGCCCCGCCACTGCACAGAAACACAGAGTGCTGTTTGCTTGTTTATTTAGAGTTTATTAATACTGAAAGGCACACCCTTGGGTTCCTAGCAATACACCTGCCTAGTGTGAAGTAGACTGGATGAACGGCTCCCGAGATATACAAAGGACAGACAGAAAGACAGTCAGACACAGATTATTTGCTTTATAGATAGATAAAACTTGGATGTCTAATGCCACATACTCCAAACTAATGGGGGACAGAATTTCACTTTTCAACTGACGGGTGCAAACGCTCTAAGCTTTTTTTAAAAAACAAACAAAAACAAACTTACAAAATGTCAAGAAAGGAAACATTCTTAAACCTCTTTGCTTTATGAAACAGAACCGCATATCTTCTACATTCAAGTTTTCCTCATTCACCTACAGTAAGACTTTCTTAATTGCTTGTTCTCTTTATCCAGAACAGGCAAACTGAACACTGGTTAAAGATGGGGCCATTTGCATGTTTGCATCAGCCACCAAGCAGCATTGGAAAAACACTGATTATTTAACATGAATTTGCTTTATTCTGTGTTTTACCGATTTAAATCACCAGGTCTGTTTGTTTTGGAGAGGAAGAGACCTCTGGGGATAATTTGGCTCTCGATAAAAACCTCCTGAACAATGAACGCTGCAGCACATTGGAGAAGTTTCAGCTGGTGGCAGTCTGCAATCCTCACTGCTAGATGCCACTAAATCCTACATACTGTTCTTCTAAGTTATTATAAAACACACTTCATTAAAACTAAACAGAAGCAGAGTTAGGTGTGAAAATATGCTGCTGCCTCTACACACTGTTTTCCCTCGCTGTCTCTGGCTGCCCGCTGAGCAGTGGCTCTCACTTGTTCTTCAGAGGCAGAGCATTAAATTATTTATTATTTATTATTATTTCAATTAGGATTTGTAATTTCACCCAGGTTTGCATTTGATTCTTACACTATTTTCATAATATACCATCAGTTACCAACAGTTCATTTTCATCATTCTTTTCATCACCTCATGATGAAAAGAATCACAGTGAAACATTATGCTGAGATAAATGAGCCCTCAGCTCCTGTGCTCCTGTGAGTGCAGTGAAATATTGTTTTAATGTCTTATTACATCTAGTGTTGTGTGCCAGAGAGATTGCTGGTTTAAATACCCCAGGCTGCATTGCCTCATGCCATTAAAGCATCACATACCTCTCCGTGATCTCTAATGATTTTCCATCTCTCCATCTCCCTGCAGGGGAGGAAGGCCCCCGGGCGCTCAGGGAGTCGATCCAGCAACATCTCCAAGGTAACCACTGACTACAAGAGTTTAAAGGGCCGATATCAAGGTCACAATTCACAGAGTCTGATAGCACCATTCACCCAGACAGAATCTGATCTGCATGAATGTGTTAACACTGAAGTGGTATTAATACAAGGTTGCTCTAAGTACACACTGTTGCACAAGTTATGAGACACTGAATGATGCTCTGAGCTCCCCTGATTAATATTTTCGTATACTTACTATGAATCAAATGAGTGTGTGTGTAATGTGGAGGAGTTGCTCGTAGAAATAAACCCACTGAGAATCATCACCTGAGCCTTTTAACATCCATCCATCCATTTTCATAACAGATTCACTTTTGTCTGGTGTTTCACCTCGCTATATTTGTATATTTTTGGCAGTGTGTTTCATGGATGCCTGCTGCCTGTAGTCTGTCACCTGGTCACTATCTTTTTCTAAAGCCCCAACTGCACCTGAGCACTGTGGGGGTACAAGGCCATAAACTTCCCGAACACAGAAATTAAGAAGAAAATAAGAAAATACAGACAGAGGGCCGAGTCTCTGCAGAAAAATACACTAACATACACTTCCAGTGGGTCACAAGTGATGATTGAAAGCTGTTATTTCTGTATGAGTCTATACATTGTTTTTTAGATAAATCCTGCATAGTGTATCTTAAACAACTAGCTAATGTTTGAAGCCTCTAACATCTAGCAGGTAAAGATTCAGATACATTTCTCAGGAGATGGTGGAGACCAAAGCAAAGCTAAAAAGAGAGTGAAGAGTAGACTGAGACTTATCAGGTGGACAGAAATACAAAAAGAAATGCTGGTTTTTCTCTTTGTATGCTGGATGTGTACATGCTAATATGTTAAAAAACAAACAAACAATGAATGTAGTTTTAGGATCATTCATATTTATTGATTGTTGTACTTGCACAGCAACATGGAGGCTAATTTGAATCTGTTGGTTGTTTCAGGCCAGCAACTCTACAACAGGACTGACTACAGCCTCAAGAACATCAATCACTCCGTCTTCTCAGGACATATGCAGGTGAGACTGCCGTCTCTTTAGTCTCAGGGGCAGAAAGTCAAAGACAGATGTTCCCTGAATATCTTCAAACACCTCAGAGCAGCCACAGTTCTCTCTGTGATATTAACATGCACAGTTTAAAGCTTCTTCTCCACTGAGTGGGAGACTGAATTAGTATGGTCTGCTGCACCCAGAGGATATTAACAAAATTAAAATGGATGCTGAAGTCCAATGGTGCTCCCATAGCGCAATCAATAAAAAGAAGATGGCCGATTGCAGAAATGGGATCCCTCAGATTATTACATCTATTTGTGGCGGGGTCGTCACGCCGATGGCCTCAGTCCTGTCGTTTCAAGGCTGAAAGGACGCTGTGTTTTATAGCAGTGTGGACACACGGGATGGACGTGAGTGCTTGGACCTTGGTTTGTCACGCACCATGCTCAAATCATTCCACATTCACCATTTCCTATTCTGATCACCTGGCCTGGTAATCTGAATGAACTGACATTTTGTTATCACTTTATTATTATTCCATATATTGTGTCCCATTTTCTGTCTCGGAGGAGTTAATATTTCGCCTGAACCCCTGCAAATTACATACGTGTCCAACCCACCAACATAATTTCCAGTCAGCACAAAAGCTGGTTGGAGCTTCCAGGAAGAGATTATTTAATTGTTTTCACATTGATAGGAAAAATATGCTGAATTTTGACTTATTGTTTCATTAAGTTGACTTATGGTAACCTAAAGGGCTGCAACTCATCAACAGTTATTTTTTTGTTTTTTTAGATACAGGTATATGACATCGCCAGTCTTACCTACAAATCTTGTCAAACTGACCTCATCACTTAATCACGTGAGAAGTGAACAGAGATCCAGAAGTCTGGAATTAGGCCGGCTATTATCTGTTTATCAGTCGGCTAGGGAGGATGCTGATCAATGTCTCTTCGGGTTGATTCACCAGAGTTACAAAAAAATATGTTTTTTCATTTCATGTGGTATATAGCAGTGCAGATTTAGTTTTATGTGCTCAGGCTTGGTGATATTTCTACCTTAACTCAATTACAATAGGTGCTCAAAACACTGACATACAAACAATGTTCCTCAGAATGATTAAGAGTTCACTACTCACTGTACTCATTGTGAGCTACTTTTCAAAGAAATAGACCCTTTGACAAGTGTTGACAGTGAGTGAGCAGATTCCGGAAAAAGCTGTGCAGGTCGACTTTTTTTTTCTGTTTTTTTGCAAACTGTGAGCACCACAGAGGAAATCCAGTTCACCTGCATTGTATTGGTATGAAAGCAGATGAAACATACTGCATTGCTAGATAGTAGGAACCTTATAAAAAGCTATAGGTTGTTTGTAATTTGGGTGTAGTGACCATTTCAGCCCATTTGTTCACTTAATGTCATCACACTTGTCTTTTCCGTTTTGTTTCACCTTGTGTTTTACACATCTCCATCTCTCTGTCTGCGTGTGTGTTCAGTTCTACCCAGCTGACCCCTTTAGAGGAGGATGTTTCTGAATCGCACAAACACAACAAGCACACACAAAACTCTGTGATGACTGTCACCAGCACAACTCTGGGCTCATCAGCTCAGGCACAGAAGAAGCAGGTGAAGCGCCGCCACCGCCGCAAGAGGAACAGCTGCACCGGCTACGACTGCGTGGAAACCAACGGCAAACAGGAGCAGACCGACCGCAGCGAGCTCAGCTCTGACCGCAGCGAGCACGGGGAGAAGAGGGAGCGGTCTGTCAAGAACCGGAGAGAGCTCCCACCTCGCCTCCGCTGCTCAGGGGTCCCCCAGTCGGACTCCACCTCTGAGGATGAGGCGTGGCGTGAGGCCCGCAGCTGGAGCAAAGAGAAAGCCCGAAGAGTGCGCCGCCGCAGCGGGAGCAGCCGAGAGAGGGATGGAGTGAACGGGGGTAAAGGAGGGGAAGACAAGGTGCAGATCATGGAGCTGCAGTCTGTCGGCTCGGATGAAGGGAAGGAGAACCAGCCTCTCGTGGAGGAGAGTGGAGGCCTTAAGAAGCGCCACAGCAGCAGGGCCTCAGCAAAGAGAGACGGCAACGTTTCACAGAGGGAAAGCTCACACAACAGAGACCAGGAGAAGGGCTACAAGTCAGGGGACAGTTCCTCACTGGCAGAGGACGCCGAGGAACTCATCACCAAGAGATACCAGGAGAAGGGGTCAGGGGGTGGGGACATGTCAGTGCCCACACCACAGAAACACTGCAGTATGAATGGAGGCACAATACGGCAATGCTCTGATGACTCTGAGATGGAGGTCTGCAGGTTAGTGGGTGTTTATGAGCCTAATATAAGTGTGGGTGGGCGCACTTCTCATCTGTCAACATCAACTTCAAGCTCAACTTTGACTTTATCGTCCAAAAAGGAAAATTCTCTTAGTCAGGGATCCAAAAATACCCCAAAAAACAAAGACAGTAGTACAAAGGTTGCATATCATTACCTGCTCTTAATGTCTGTACTGTATATTTATTTTCTATGTGTGTGTGTGTGTGTGTGTGTAGGATCTGCCACTGTGAGGGGGATGACGAATGCCCGTTGATAATGCCTTGTCGCTGCACGGGGAGCCTGAGTTTTGTCCACCAGGCATGTCTCAACCAGTGGATCAAATCCTCAGACACTCGCTGCTGTGAGCTCTGCAAGTTTGACTTCATCATGGAGACGAAGCTAAAACCTTTACGCAAGGTAGGCACACGCTCATAAATCTCACTCACAGCTATGAACTGTGATTTACTGTCAGGCTGTAATAATGAACACCATTTCCCTCCCTTCAACTAATGCTGCCTCTCATCTCCCTCTCCACCCCTCTGTCCTCCAGTGGGAGAGGCTACACATGTCGAAGGGCGAGAGGAGAAAGATCTTCTGTTCAGTCTTGTTTCACCTGATAGCAATAGTGTGTATGTTGTGGTCAGTCTACGTTCTGTTCAAGAGAACAGCGGAAGAGATCAGACTTGGGAAGAACGGTAAGTAATTCCTCCCGCTCCCTCGCCCACATACCAGAGACACACAGAGTAGAGGTGTTATGATCCACGGCGGGCAGATTTGATTGTAAAACATGATTTCTCACATACAGGTGGTGTAAGTAAAGCCAAAGAACATTTCTCACCTCAACAAAAATTGTTTAAAAGTGCATTGTTTACATCAGCGTGCAGTTTTCCTGTCCTTTCAAGATTCAAAGGTTGTTGTTTTTTCGCATGATCATAATTTTTTATAGTGAAACACAGGGTTCGCACGGTCATGGAAAACCTGGAAAAGTCATAGAATTTCACAGTCATATTTTCCAGGCTCAGAAAAGTAATGGTATTAGGAAAAATCATTGAAAGTTTTGTAAAACTTTGTTTTGTGTGTAATGAAATTGTTACAGTAATCTTCCATGGATAGCCTCTCACATCATGTAACATAGCAAATAATTTTCTGCAGCTGTTCTTCTTCTTCTTCTTGCAGCGGCAAGAAAAAAAAACTTAATTATGGGTGCTTAAAAAGTCACTGAACAGTTTGAAAAGTTTGTCCATGAAAGTGTATGGGAACCCTCTCCTGTTCTTGAGACTAAAACGGCTAGTGTACAATAAAGAAAATAATATAGGAGTAAATGTATAAATTATACCGGCCTCACATCCAACGACTTTTCTGGCGATTTTACTGTCACAGACTAATTTCTAATGTCGGAATAAAATCAAGAGAATTTTATCTCAGTTGGTGTGCGCTCCTGTGATCACCATTGTTTGGTGTAAAGTGACCATAAAACTCAGCCAGAGCTATCTTTTTCTCATCTTGACCTTCAGACGAAATCAGACATGTTTAATAATATTGCAAGTTTTTAGTCTTGGCTCATGCAAATACAGAAGTTCAATGACATGAACTTTGTCAGCAACCAATGGCTGCGCTCTCTCCAGCACCAAACAGGAAGCCACAAACTGGTTAGACAGTAAACATGGAGGGCAATGTGGTGAGGCACAAGAACGTGAACAAGTCTTGGTTCTCTTGTACTGTGTAAAAGTAGGAGAAACTGGGGGAGTTGTGGAGTGAACAAGAGTCTACATAATCTTGTTGTAGTCTTGCAAATAGTGACCCTGCAAGATCTTCAGTTTAAGAAATCTTATTGTGTGTAATTAAAAACTCACATTGTCTTTAGATGTGAGAGGGCGTCAGACTTAAGAAGACTTTTAAAATCCTGTAGGCATCAGAAAAACACACATTCATGATGAAAAGATGAAAAACATTTGAATATACTATGTAGTGCAAGTATTTAAATGCTATAGCTTTATAGGGAGGTGGGCTGTGCAGGCTATAGTTGTAAGACAATATATTATAAACTGTCAATATAAATTAATACACATCATGCTGGTAAAACACTCAATACAAACAACGCAGGAGCATTAAAATGCTGCACTGTAGCGCCCCTAGAGGTCAAAAACTTCTTAGGGTACCTTGAGCCATTACACCTGTCTGACTCTGGTGATGTGATTTTGAAGATACATGTTCTGTGTAGTCACTCAGTGTGTTCATGTGAATAGTGTGTGTATTGTCTAGTATAAATCTCCCAGTTTATGTTACTGTGATGGTGATCCACACATCCCTCCACACATTAGAGGTAAAGCTTGAGAGAGAAGAGGGAGAAGACACTGGTTTTCTTTATTGTTGCTGCTGTATGAAACTCAGAAAACTAAGTGTTTACAAATAAGTTTAATTTCAACTTACAACCAGATCACGTTCTGTTTTCTTTAGAGCCTATCATCAGGGGCTTTTCTGTTGCCAAGTAGATGACTACTGATATCTAATGCTGAAAACAGAAGTGCTGCCCTCTTTCTGTTTTGGTTGCACAATGGTTGATCCACTTCCTTTGTGCCGGGCCCACATTTTCCTGGGAGATTGTACCCGTTGGCTTACAGGGAACTAATCTAAATGCAGATGGTGTCATTACTCTATAGCTCTTACACTGTGCAATCAGTATAAGGATTAAGCAAAACACTTGTCTGTTTTCACGTTAACGGGCTAAATCATGAAAAAACACCAGTGTGTTCTTTTAAGAAATATTAATTTCTTCTACAGTGAGTCAGCAGGTTGCTCTCTGTTTCTACTGACACTGACGAGTCACATGATGCTCCTCATTGAATAAAATCTGGGATGTGCTGGTTACAGCCCGATGAACCGCCTGTTTGTCACAATTTATGTCATTGCGTTAAAAAAAATAGTTCCCTCAGTGCTTTTGTGTGTTCATTGTTGTTTGTTGATGGTGTTGTGTGTTGTGCTGTGTTCATAGTGTATAATCATGCTCATATTGTAGGACCTCGGGTCAGAGGCAGAAAACATAGATGCAGTACGTTAAAAACACTTAATATATATTAATAAACATTAATATATATTAAATGTACTTTATAAATAATAGCGTAGAACACGTTTAATCAGAGATCATTTAAATAAAGAGAAATTACATTCACTCTTGATTGCAGACGATTTTTGGAGAGTTTCTCTTCTCAAGTACAATACGCCACAGGGTAAGCACAGCTCTACACACACCACCATCATGATCCACCACACCTCCTGCAGGTTGACGAACATTTGCTCTGTGTGTTTGTGTGTGTGTGTGTGTGTGTGTGTGTGTGTGTTTGTGCGTCCTCAGGTGTGCTGGAGTGGCCCTTCTGGACCAAGCTGATTGTGGTGGCCATCGGCTTCACAGGTGGCCTCATCTTCATGTACATCCAGTGTAAAGTCTACCTGCAGCTGTGGCACCGCCTCAAGGCCTTCAACCGCATCATCACTGTGCAGAACTGCCCCGAGAAAGACCTGCACAACCCTCAGGCCCAGCTCAACGCCCTGACCAATGGCAGGCACGAAACAGTGGAGGTTCCCGTCGCTCCGGCCCCCGTCCTGGCTCCAGACACACAGATGGACTCGGACATGTCGGTGGAGGCTGCAGTGGCTCCCGCACAAAACCCTGTCTGACTGATTCTCTCCTCCCACTCAGAAAGAGTCCTTTATCACACCCTGCTCATCCAACAACACAAGATGGTGTGAGCACTGTGTGATTTAGACCCGTACAAATTTTGTAGTGTTGTTTGTCTCAGCTCCTGTGAGTGCTGATCTTGAGACACGAGACGGATTTAAAGTCCTTCAGTGATCGAGGAAAACTGAAAGGCTCAAGGGCTGCAGTGGCGTAAATGTGCAAAGTAACGAAGAATGTGGCAGGCCGGAAAAAAGGAGAAGAGAGGAGGTGAAGAGATGTAAAGGAAAATAAAGCCATCAGCAAGAGAAGTTTGTAAAGACTGTAGTTATGTGATATATTGACAGTTTTATTCCTGTATGCACTTTCCCAAACTGCACTGACGTGATTTGAAGGTGTGAACACCCTGTGGATGCTATTAAAGCTCTCAGTATGCTTCAAATGAACCTCAGATGACACGTCTTACAGCCACGTCCTCAGGCAACAGTGTTAGTAGTTGTTTCCAAATGGCCAGAGGCCTGCTGTCACGGAGAGGAGTGAGATGAGAGGACTCAGACTCTCTCCTCAGAGGCATTCCTGGTGTTGCACTCGGTTGTCTGGTTGTGCAAAAGAAAAAAAAGCTTGAAAGACAAGTTCACACCTCTGCACACCAGGAACTGTCACTGCGTCAAGGGGTGGTTATTGTGGACGGTGAACGTGCGTGCGGTTCTATTGTTACTACGTTGGTTGTCTGCATAGAGGAAAATGTTCACAAGTTTGGTGGCGCGGTCTCATCACATGGAGGTAAAAAGTATGAGCTTAAACTGTCAGACATATAAGCACTTACACAAGGCCGAGACGTATGCCATGTCTTTAACCACCTGGAAGATGCGATGTTGAGCACTGGTTGCTGTTCTGGTGCCTACTTTGTGCCAACTCTCAAGGGCACGGAGGCAGGTTGCATCTGAAGTTGCTAAGTGATCGTAACCAGCGCTGTATCACAGTGTACTTACCAGAAATCCCAAGTTTGTTAGTCTTCAATGCCGACACCCCAAGGTGAAGGAAACTGTTTTTTAATTGTTTCCATGACATGTCTTCTCTCAGACTAGTGGGAAGAAAACGCCTCACAGCAAGAGGGTTGCTGATTCAAGTCCTAGGTGGGGTGTTCGAAGTCCTTCTGTGTGGAATTTGCATGGTCTCTTAGTGTCAGTGTGGGTTTTCTCCGGGTACTCCGGCTTCTCCGGCTTCCTCCCACAGTCCAAAGACGTGGAGGTTAATTGGTGACTCTAAATTGTCCGTAGGTGTGAATGTGAGTGTGAATGGTTGTCTGTCTCTATGTGTCAGCTCTGTGATAGTCTGGCTACCTGTCCAGGGTGTACCCTGCCTCTTATACAATGTCAGCTTAAAAACAGTGAAAATTGTTTTGTTTTAAGATTGTTGACATTTTTTTCTGATTTATGGCATGATAAGAACAGATATCAAAAATTCACCCTTCAAAACTTTGACTCTGATGTGTCAACAACCTGAAACAAGAAATTTTAACCTGAATTTATCCAGTGTTCAGATTTCTGTTACAGAAATATATACAAATCAGTCTCGCCGACAGCATGTATTCTGTTATGTATTTTTTATTCTATATGTATTCTAAATAATGGTGCACACTGTGGGACTGTGTCTCTTTGTAGGCCTTGTGGTGTTGCATTTGGTTGTACACGAGATGTGATGGAGAAGGTTGCACACCTGGCCAACTGTTACATGAAGTGTGAGCGGGCGTACACCTGATAGAAGGTCACTCTTTGTTTGAAGCATACTGAGGCCTTAACTCTCCTTCTGGACAATCAGGTCTTCAGACACCAAAGAGTAAAGACATGATAAGTAGAGAAACAATTATTTAAACTGTACATTTAGCTCAGTCTGAAATCTGAAAATCTAATGTTTTGAAAGAACTGACTTTATTTATTATCATAGAGGAGAGTGTTGAATATTTCCTATAATTGAAAATCTCGAGTAGCCCAGTTGTTGATGTCGTTTTGTTTCGACAGTTTGCAGCTTTATGACGTCCGTTATTGAAACATTGATGTAACTAGAGCTTTCATGGTCGCCATCCTGTGATGTTTTTAGACTTGACACACTGTGTGAGTGACTGAGTGGTCAATTGAAAAAAAGAAAAAAAAAAGGTGACTATTGTTTACACTTGTCCACTTTTCTACAGGTTTAATTTTTTTTTTTTTTTTATCAGTGTCGCTGTCACACCACAGAAAGTACTGTGTGTCTCATAGCCACCACGACGTTAGAGCACCCAACGTCTCTGTCAAAACCTTTTTTCTATCTCTGATTGGATAACACGGAGTATTCAGGTTACATACGACTCATATTTGTTTGTGCAATAAACAATGAATGTAGAACCCCTCACAGGCTGGTGTGGAGTTACTGAGTCTGGCGCCATCTTGTGGACAGTCACAGAGCAGCAGCAGCATTTCCCCCACACTGGCACATAAACTCTACAAGTCTGGCAGTGTGACGCTCAGCTCCACAGTCTTTGATACTGAGCCACATATGATTATTTTCAGTCCGACATCAGCAACATCTCATCCACATCCTCATCATCCAAATCATCTTCATCATCCTCATTGTCATCTTCTGCATCATCTTGTTTCTCCTCCTCCTCCTCCTCCTCGTTCTTTGTGTCCAAACCTTTGTTAGACACCTTTCGCAGTTTAATATTTGGAAGTTTCTTCAGATCACCGGTCCACTCCCTGCCACGAAAAAGGATCAACAAACGTCATCAGAAAGGATGTTTATGAATCCTCAAGTTGTCACATGAGCAAATCCTACACTTAAAATCAGCAGTGTGAAGGATTTAGTTGCGTCTACGTCTAGTTGTAAAGATTGCAGATTTCAACCAGCTGAAACTTCTCCCAAGTGCGTAGTGTGAACTCCCGGTTAGGATTTCTTCAGTGTTCATGGTTCAGGAGGTTTTTACTGGGAGCCTAATTATCCACAGCCATCTCCTCCTCGCCAAATCAAACAAACCAGGTCATTTAAAATGGTAAAAATACTGAATATACCAGTTTCACGTTAAAACTCTGTGTTTTTCTGATGCCATTTGGCTCGTTGCAGAGGGGCTGCTTACTACAGTGCCTGACGTTAAAGTATGAACGGCCTTATCTAGAGCCAGTGTTTGGTTACACCGTTCTGGGCTACTGTAGAAACATGGCGGACTCCACTGACCTGCTCCCTGTGTAGATATAAGCGACTCATTCTGAGGTAACAAGAACACAGTTATTCTTATTTTCAGGTGATTACACACCAAGGAAAACACACGTATTATATTCCATTTTTGCAAAGACATCCCCCTGAATCCTACACACTGGAGCTTTAATTGCATTTTTCAAGCTGAATAAATACGGCCACTTCTCAAATACATAAATAAATTCAAGCTGTGATTCTTGCTGACTCACCTGAATGTCTTCAGATGCTTTGCGTTAATGATGTCTGGGATCTCTGTGAAGACGACAGAACACAGGATCATGTCATGAAGGATTGTCCAACACTGAATGTGAACATGTTTAGCTTCACTGTGTCTACTTATACGGTGATGGACTCACCAAACCCAATGCCCTCATACTGCGCTCGCTCTCGCTCGACCGTCTGTTTGATGACAGCCTCCCTGGCGCCATGGAGACGACCCTGCCGACCTTTGATCCCATTCATCAGCTCAATCTGCTCGAGCTCAGAATCAAACCTTTGGAGGTACCTACACACACACACACACACACACACGAGAACACATATCAGTTCATATAAAAATCAAGATACAGAGTGCTGACAGATTTCAGAAATAAAAGAAAAGATGTTCTACTTAAAATGATAAATGGCAAAAACAATATCAATATAAACTGTAAATCTTTGACCTCTCTATGATGTCACAGGCATCTTTTTTAGTGTAAGTCGTCTTTTCTGGATCCAACTGTTGCTGAAACCACAACAGCTTCTCCCCTGAGGGTCAAGAGACAAATACAAGAAAGAGACAGTGTTTGATGAGGAGTGATTTCATTCAGCCAGCATGAATATATATATATATGTGTATGTACAGTACAGGCCAAAAGTTTGGACACACCTTCTCATTCAATGCGTTTTCTTTATTTTCATGACTGTTTACATTGTAGATTCTCACTGAAGGCATCAAAACTATGAATGAACACATGTGGAGTTATGTACTTAACAAAAAAAGGTGAAATAACTGAAAACATGTTTTATATTCTAGTTTCTTCAAAATAGCCACCCTTTGCTCTGATTACTGCTTTGCACACTCTTGGCATTCTCTCCATGAGCTTCAAGAGGTAGTCACCTGAAATGGTTTTCCAACAGTCTTGAAGGAGTTCCCAGAGGTGTTTAGCACTTGTTGGCCCCTTTGCCTTCACTCTGCGGTCCAGCTCACCCCAAACCATCTCGATTGGGTTCAGGTCCGGTGACTGTGGAGGCCAGGTCATCTGCCGCAGCACTCCATCACTCTCCTTCTTGGTCAAATAGCCCTTACACAGCCTGGAGGTGTGTTTGGGGTCATTGTCCTGTTGAAAAATAAATGATCGTCCAACTAAACGCAAACCGGATGGGATGGCATGTCGCTGCAGGATGCTGTGGTAGCCATGCTGGTTCAGTGTGCCTTCAATTTTGAATAAATCCCCAACAGTGTCACCAGCAAAACACCCCCACACCATCACACCTCCTCCTCCATGCTTCACAGTGGGAACCAGGCATGTGGAATCCATCCGTTCACCTTTTCTGCGTCTCACAAAGACACGGCGGTTGGAACCAAAGATCTCAAATTTGGACTCATCAGACCAAAGCACAGATTTCCACTGGTCTAATGTCCATTCCTTGTGTTTCTTGGCCCAAACAAATCTCTTCTGCTTGTTGCCTCTCCTTAGCAGTGGTTTCCTAGCAGCTATTTGACCATGAAGGCCTGATTGGCGCAGTCTCCTCTTAACAGTTGTTCTAGAGATGGGTCTGCTGCTAGAACTCTGTGTGGCATTCATCTGGTCTCTGATCTGAGCTGCTGTTAACTTGCGATTTCTGAGGCTGGTGACTCGGATGAACTTATCCTCAGAAGCAGAGGTGACTCTTGGTCTTCCTTTCCTGGGTCGGTCCTCATGTGTGCCAGTTTCGTTGTAGCGCTTGATGGTTTTTGCGACTCCACTTGGGGACACATTTAAAGTTTTTGCAATTTTCCGGACTGACTGACCTTCATTTCTTAAAGTAATGATGGCCACTCGTTTTTCTTTAGTTAGCTGATTGGTTCTTGCCATAATATGAATTTTAACAGTTGTCCAATAGGGCTGTCGGCTGTGTATTAACCTGACTTCTGCACAACACAACTGATGGTCCCAACCCCATTGATAAAGCAAGAAATTCCACTAATTAACCCTGATAAGGCACACCTGTGAAGTGGAAACCATTTCAGGTGACTACCTCTTGAAGCTCATGGAGAGAATGCCAAGAGTGTGCAAAGCAGTAATCAGAGCAAAGGGTGGCTATTTTGAAGAAACTAGAATATAAAACATGTTTTCAGTTATTTCACCTTTTTTTGTTAAGTACATAACTCCACATGTGTTCATTCATAGTTTTGATGCCTTCAGTGAGAATCTACAATGTAAATAGTCATGAAAATAAAGAAAACGCATTGAATGAGAAGGTGTGTCCAAACTTTTGGCCTGTACTGTATATATATATATATATATATATAATAAACAAACTCACCGATGCTGCTCAGACGAGTTGCTTTGTCATTCTTCTGCCTGTAGCATCAGAGAAACCAGTTAAATGAAATTAATCTGAGCCTAAGACAATATATATATATATATATAATAAACAAACTCACCGATGCTGCTCAGACGAGTTGCTTTGTCATTCTTCTGCCTGTAGCATCAGAGAAACCAGTTAAATGAAATTAATCTGAGCCTAAGACAGTGTGTGTCGAGCAATTTTTGATTACATTATAATGTATATACATTTATATCAGCGTGTTTTTCCAGAGGACATAATTCAGCCTCGTATGTGCAGTTCACGAAAAAGTATGTTTTCATAAAATACAAGATAAGCAGGTAAACTTCCATTTTTATGTCTTCTTCAATTTCCTCCTGTATGTCTCCATCCACACACTGTATTCATTCACTGACTTTATGTAAACAAAATGTTATACAGTCCTTTCTTTTATTCAGTTTTCAGGAGTTATTTAGCCCGTTGTTTCACAAAAGATTGAGTCAGTGTCTTTTAG